GGGCCGCGGCCACAGAATCCGGTGGCATCAGGCGCGGGCCAACAGGCATCCAAGCGCGGCGTCAAGTCATTGGCGCCGCGCCCTCCACCCTCAAACCCGACCCCTGAAGCTTCCACGCAGGCGGGCCCCCGCACGCACGCACGCCGCCGCCGCCGCCGAAGCAGCCGCTGCGCCCTGCGCAACTGCGCGCGCACACACACGTGGCGACTCGCGGCCCCGGCCCTGCCGAGCCTGTCAACTCACCCTATGAACCCGTTCTGCGGCAGCGGCCCCTCCAGCTGGTTCCCGTCCAACCAGACCTCCCGCAGCGCCGCGTTCCCCACGAAGCTGCCCGGCAGCTGCCCGCCCAGGCGGTTGGCCCCCAGGTCCAGCACCAGCGCCGGCAGCGCCGCGAGCGCCGGCGGGACGGCGCCGGTGAGCGCGTTCCCCCTAAGGTTGAGCTCAGTCAGGGGCCGCCGGCCGCCAAGGGCTGCAATAAGGCGGGGGTCGGGGCGATGGCAGGGGGGCGCGTGAGCACGCATTGTGTGCAAGGGGGCCATTGCGAGGGTGCGGGCGAAGCAAGCGGCGCAACGAGCCGCGGGACGGCTGGGCGACGCCCCCACAGATGCGGCCGCTCCCCACACCCCGCGCCGCACCCGGCGAAGTGCCGCTGCTCGCGTTTCCCGCGCCGGCCGCCGCGGCCGCCAGCGGCAGCGGGCCCGCCAGCCGGTTGCTGCTGAAGTCCAGGACCTCCAGGGCCCGTGCGGCCAGCAGGCCGTCTGGCAGCGCCGCCACCCGGTTGCGCGCGCCGCGCAGCACGCGCAGCGCGGGGCTCGACGCGAACGACGGCGGGACCGCGCCTGGCGGGGCCGCGCAAGGGGCGAGCGGGGCGGGGCAGGGGGGCATGAGAGGGTCGAGAGGCGCCGCGCTGGGCGCATGGCGCCGGCGCTGCTGCAGAGTGCCATGCTCATGGCTCGGCTTTGACTGCAACTGCGCCGTGCTGCCTGGAGGCCGCCATGCCCCGCTGCCGCGGCCCATGCGCGCGCCTCGCCGCCGCATTCGGCCGGCCACGAGCTCTCGCATGCAGCCGCGCGGCTCGCCACACACATGCGCGGCCCCTGCAATGCTGCACGGCCGGGGATCGCCAACCCCTTTCGCCCCCGCCCCGCTCCTCCCCCCGCCCCACCGCACCCAGCGCACCGGTCAGCAGGTTCCCCGAAAAGTCAAACTCCTCGAGCAGCGGCAGCGCGCCCAGCGCCGCCGGCAGCGGCCCGGTCAGCGCGTTGCCATTGACCAGCAGGCGCCGCAGCTTCCGCAGCGCCGCCAGCGACGGCGGCAGGGGGCCGGCGATCTGATTGCCAAACAGGTTGAGGGTCTCGAGTGCGGGCTCGAGGCCGGCAAACGCATCCGCTGGGAGCTCCCCCACTAAACCGTTGAGGGGCAGCTCGAGCGCGGCCACCGCGCCCTCGGGCCCGCACGCCGACGGCACCGCGCCCGCCGCGGCCGCGCCGCAGCAGGCGACGCCGGCCCAGGTGCAGTGGTCGGGCGCGGCGGGCCAGCCGGCGCTGCGGCGCCACTGCGGGCCGCCAAGAGCGTCATACAGGCGCGCGAGCACTGCGCGCTGGGCCTGCCTGCACTGCTGGTCGCATGCCTGGCCGTCAGCAACGGCCACCAGCACGCATATCAAGATACAGACTGCTGCCCGACGCATGCCCGCTCCTGTTGGACAGCAGGCCAGCCCGTCCGGGAGCCCTGTCCCGGATTATATATTCTTTTCAGCCTTCAGCGTCCATTATTGAACCCCATGCAGCCCGCTGCGCGGGCGCGTACGTCGCGAGCGCTGTGCAGTCTTTCGAATTTTTAGGTCTGTGTACCATATTCTAATATAATGGATGATATTGTTACGGTCAGCTACCGGAGTTGAGATTGTGTGTCCATCAAGCAAGGCAATCAAGATCGCAGGCTTGTTTAGTTTTCCTCTTCATCACCGGAATGCGTCTCTAAACAGCCGCATGATCCTGATCAAGCAGGCTTGAGCTGCCAACGAAACCTAGCTCGCTGCGGCACGCAGGTGCTGACGCTTACTGTGCGCCCTACGTCACACAGCAGGGTCACAGCCCCTGGCGTCCCAGGCCCTTGGAAAGCCTCCTGCCGCACCAAGCAACTGCCCAAATTGCCACAGCCCTCTGTAACCATTGATTACACCTACCTGCCTTCAGTCGCCCGCGATTCAACACACATGCACGGAGCGTTTACAACGGGCCGGCGCCCGTAAGCGCGACCCTCGTGTCCGGCGGACCATGATGCACAACGCGTTCCGCAACGCAATGCGTCGAGCGGCACCGCGTGCCGGTTGTGATTGCGGGCAGGAAAAGACACATCCGAAGGTGGTTTATTGGTTGCCCCAAAAAGCGAACAGAGCATGCGACACGCGTACAGCAAAGGAGTGGCGCAGGCGTGCGCCTGGTGCAGCAGTGCAGGGCTCCCGAGCGCCCGGCGAGGCGTGGGGAGCGGCGAGGCCGCAGGGGCCGGCGGGCGACCCCCACGAGCGCGGCCGCGCCTGCGCCGGCGCCCGGAACTCACGCGCTGGGGCGCGCGCACGGCGGGCGCGGCGGTGGCGGCGGCGGCGTGTGGCAGGGGCGGTCGAGCGCGCCTGGAGGCGCGCCCGAAGCACCGGCCGAGGGGCCCAAGAGGGCGCCACACGGGGATCAGAGCACTTTGTCATTGTCGGATCGGTAGCAAACCGCAGCCACCCGCCTGGCAAGGAAACCGTGTTTGAACGAAACCACACCATGCAAACTGCTAACAAAGTGGCAAGCACCGCCAGCCCGGCCCACAGCGCGGCCGGCCGCCGGGGACGGGGGAGCGAGGGACACCCCCGCCCGCGACGCCGGCACGAGTTAGATGATGAGGGGGTGCGGCGCCAAGGAGTGCGCGGGTTCGAGCCCCCATGGCGCGCAGGGGAAAGAGGGGGCGTGGTGCCCGCGGAATGGGGGCGGGCAGGGTCGGGCGGGACAACCGCGACCACGTGGCGCGTCGGGGCGCGCGTGCGCTGGGGACGGGTCAAAAGTGCAGGGGCAAAGGGTGCGCGTGCGCTAAGACGCACTCTCGGCCGCAGGAGACATGCGTCGAGGCAGGGGCAAGGTCCAGGGCAGTCGCGGGGACAACAGGCTGGTCATGGCACAAGCAAAGGTGGTGGCGTCGCTGGCCGCCACGTTGCGCGCCGCCCCGGCGCGTGCCCCGACGCGCCGGGGCGGCGGGGGGCCGCTGGCCGCAGGCCGGCCTCCCTCCAAGCCTCGCCCCGCGGTGGGCCCCCCCAGCGCTGGGACGCATAGGGGGCGGCGCCCAAAAAGGCGCGCGGGTCCAGCTTCGCGAGTTGGGCGGGTGAGAGGGGGCGGCGGCGGCGGGGCTCTGTGCCGGGTTTGGGTATGAAATGTGGTACAAAAGCATCGGGGGCAGGGCCCAGTCGCCCGGGCCCGCCGCCCCCGACGCCGCACGCGGGGAGCGCTCCCTGCAGATGAGCCGGCGCGAAGATCTTCCTTCGCCGCGCACGCCGATTGCAGCGGCGGGGGGGCGCCGGCGGGCCCCGCGCGCGGCGCCCTTCACGCGTGCTGCCGCCGCTCCTCCTCCTCGGACGCCGCCGCCGCGGCCGCGGCGAGGCTGTCGAGGCTGCCCGACGGCCGCGGCGCCTGGTGCGCGCGCGCGGCGTGGAACGCGTGCGGCGTCGCAAACAGGCGCTGCGCGGCCGCGACCCCGTCGGCGGCCGCGTGGCAGTGCGCCGGCGGCGGGGGGTGCTGGTACACCGCAAACGCGCCGTGCGCGCCCGTCGCCGCGGCGGCCGGCAGGCCGGCGGGTGCGAGCGCCGCCAGGGGACCAAACTGGCCGGCGGCGGCGGCACGTTGCATGTGCGCGAGCTGTTGGAGCTGCAGCTGCTGCTGGAGGTGAGTCAGCATGGAGGTGCTGAGAAGGTGCTGGGCAGCTGCCTGCTGCGCGGCGAGCGCGAGCTCTATCGGCGCGGACGCCATGGGGTGCGGCTGCGGCGGCAGCATCAACGCCGCCGCCGCGGGGCCGGCGGCGGGCAGCACGGCGGGGGCGCTGCCGGAGGGGCCGTCGCAGCGGCTGCCGTCGACGGCCGCTGCGGCGTTTGTTTGCGACTCCAACTCGAGCTCCTGCAGACACCCGCCGCCCGCGCCGTCGGGTGCGCCCGGCGCCAGCGGCGGCGCGGCATGGCGGTGGTGGCCGTGCGCGCGGTGGTGCCGGTGCTGGTGCGCGTGCGCATGCGCGTGCGACGCCGCCGGCGGTGCGGCGGCGGGGCCGCCGGCCGCGGCGGGCGCGTCCGAGGCCTGCGACTGCAGCCTGCTAGTGCCGTTGTCTGCTCGCCATTTGCGGAAGGACCCCGGAGACGAGTTGACAGTGGGCAAGAACGCGGGTTGGGCGGGTTGGGGGGTTCGCAGGGCAGGGC